GGGTGACATTGGGGGGTGACATTGGGGGGGCTTTTGGGATGACACTGGGGGGCTTTTGGGGTGACAATGGGGGGGAGGGGGTGACGCTGGGGTCCCTGAGGTGACAGCACACGGTGGCCTATAGGAGATGGTGGCAGAGCTGTACCGCTTCCGGGACGCGGCACGGCACGGCGACGATGGCGGCCATGATGGTGATGATGGCGGCCATGATAGTGATGGCGGCCATGATGGAGGCGGCCATGATGGAGGCGGCCATGATGGTGGCGGCCATGATGGTGGCGGCCATGATGACGATGATGATGATGGTGACGGCGGTGGCGAGGATGGTGAGCACAAAGATGGGGATGGAAGGAAGGGGACGGCGGAGGCGGCGGCGGCGCTGGAGGAGGAGGTGGAGCGGATCGTGCAGCGCATGGAGGGCATCCGAGGTGAGACATGGAGACCCATAGAGACCCATAGAGCCCCATAGGGACTATGGAGACCCATAGGGACCCATAGGAACCCATAGAGCCCCATAGGGATGCATAGAGCCCCATAGGGACTAATAGAGACCCATAGAGCTCCATAGGGACTATGGAGACCCATAGGGACCCATAGGGACCCATAGAGCCCCATAGGGATGCATAGAGACCCATAGAGCCCCATAGAGACCCATAGGGACTATGGAGACCCATAGGGACTAATAGAGACCTATAGAGCCCCATAGAAACTATGGAGACCCATAGAGCCCCATAGGGACCCATAGAGCCCCATAGGGACCCATAGGAAGCATGGAGATCCATAGAGCCCCATAGGGATCCATAGTGCCCCATAGGGACCATGGAGACCTATAGAGACCCATAGAGCCCCATAGAGCCCCATAGGGACCCTTAGAGACTCATAGAGCCCCATAGGGATCCATAGGGACCCATAGAGACCCATAGAGCCCCATAGGGACCATGGAGACCCATAGAGACCCATAGAGACCCATAGAGCCCCATAGGGATGCATAGAGCCCCATAGAGCCCCATAGGGATCCATAGGGACCCATAGAGACCCATAGAGCCCCATAGGGACCATGGAGACCTATAGAGACCCATAGGGATGCATAGAGACCCATAGGGACCCATAGAGCCCCATAGGAACAATGGAAACCCATAGAGCCCCATAGAGCCCCATAGAGCCCCATAGGGACCATGGAAACCCATAGAGACCCATAGAGCCCCATAGCGCCCCATAGCGCCCCATAGGGACCCATAGAGACTCATAGAGAGCCCCATAGGGATCCATAGCGACCCATAGAGCCCCATAGGGATCATGGAGACCTATAGAGACCCATAGAGACCCATAGAGCCCCATAGGGACCCTTAGAGACTCATAGAGCCCCATAGGGATCCATAGAGACCCATAGAGCCCCATAGGGACTATGGAGACCCATAGGGACCCATAGAGCCCCATAGAGCCCCATAGGGACCCTTAGAGACTCATAGAGCCCCATAGGGAT